CGCACGAGAAGCTCGATCGCAGTCGGTGCGACTTGCCACTCGAGAAACACTTGTCGGGTAGAAAGGGATCGATGATTGCTGTGCTCATCCTCCTGATGTGCAGTTCCTCTCATCATTGCTCGAAGTTTACGGACCAGCGAGCTGTCGAGACGGTGGAGCTCTCTGGGGGGTCAGCACGTAGCTTTCGAGGCCAGGCCAAACCCTCCCAGCGACATTGGACACGAACGCGAGCCGTTTGGCCTTCCAAGGACCTCCAGAAAGCCAGTAATCGCCCAAGCGATCCCACCCGATCTTACCTGACTGAATGCGGGCCTCGACTTCACGGCGATTGCTGTTAGCGACGTGTACAAATCCTCCAAGATGAATCAAGTCCTGGACCGCGTTCCCAGAGATATTCCGTTCGGCCTCCTTCGTAGCCCCGTGAGTGCCCAGTGAGACCAGGGTGTCCTGCTTACTGATGTGCTGTGCGTAGCCGCCAGCCTCGAGGGCCTGGGAGAGCGTGTTGTTGTCGATCTTATCAATCTGCAGCGCCTGGAGGGCCGTGCCGTCTGGCACCAAGAGGATCTTAACTAGATCGTCAACGAAAGCTCCAAGATGCGCATCAAACTCTTCACCAGTAAACGGGCAGTGTACCTGAAACGGGTTTCCCTGGACCTGGGCCATCCCCTGGGACCACTGCATAACCAATGGATAAAAAGATTCCATGAAAAGTTCAGGCTCGTTTGAGTCTCACATCCTCCCCCTGTCCCTGGTCGGAGAGCTATGCTAGCATCAGACGCCTGCAGACAAAAAAAAAACTACAGCCTCGTGTCGGCGCTGCTCGAGGGGGTGGAAATGCTCATCTTCGCATCGAAATGTGTGGGCGGCGACCAGTCGCTCGTGGGAGCCTGTCGCGAATGCGTTCCGCATGCCGTACGACTTAGCAAGAAAAGACATTCTGGCAGATCTCATCTTCCATATCAGGAGCTTAGCGAGGAGCATGATGATGATGATGATGGTGATAGGGATGATGCAACTGATAACGATGATGGTGGTGGTGGTGGTGATGGTGATGGCATCGATGATAGGGATGATGCTGGTGATGCTGGTGATGATGCTGATGATGTTGATGTTGATTGTGATAGTGATGTTGATTGTGATAGTGATGGTGATGATGGCGTCGATGATCATGCGAATGTTAATGCTGATGCTGCTTCTGATGCTACTGCCGACGACTATTAGGAATAGGGGGAGAGAGGAGCAGGGATGATGCGGATGTGGAGGAGGAGGTGGAGGAGAGAGGAGAACATAACAGGGCACGGATGAGGGAAATGATGGGGATGAGGACGAGGAAGGGTGGAACGCGCGGAAGGCTGCGAAGGGGAGGAGGAAGAGGGGAAATCAGGATGATGATGATGAGGCTGATGCTGATGATGCTGCTGATGATGACGATGATGTTATGACGGTGATGATGATGGTGATGATGATGGTGATGGGACTTTTCCTCAACGGGTGGCTAGGGGTGAGACCCTCGCAGGAACAACAAGTCACGAGAGCGTCAAGCGTCTCAGTGCAAACTGGAGAAGGACGGCAACAGGAAGACATAGGCACAGACAGAGACCGCCGAACAGGCACACAACTAGGCATGAGCGTTGCACATGAAATCTGGTTGGCGACAAGCGCCAAAGCTCAAATCAGCCACGCGCTGCTTAGAGACCTGGCAAGCGGGGGAGGGAGGGGGAAAGCGAAAAGCCGAAAGGGACAAAAACGGCGCGAGGCAAGCGAAGGGCAAAAGTGCGGAGAAGGGGAAGAGCCAGGGAGGGCACTCAAAGCAGTCATGTCTGCGCGTTGGCCTGAGTTACGAGGCTCACACCCTGCCTGGTCGCCATGGCTCATAAGATGCATGTCTCTGCCACTTGGGGGCCACAGAAATGTGAAACCGCCACGCGAAAGTCAGACCTTAGACGGCACATCGTACTTGCAAGGGATACTGACGCGAACCAAAGCAGGCACCACTGAGGGCATCACAAAGCCAAATTCTCCCGTTGTCTCTGTAGACTTGCCGTCGCGGCCACGCTCCGCTGCAACAGTGCGGGTGCCAGGTAGTAGAAGATACGTGCACGTAGCTACTGAGTGACAAGTTGCCTACCCATTTCAGCTGCATCCTGGTCAACGTTGACGTGCGCGCCGTTCAGCGATGGGCGCTTCCATATCCCTCACCATGGCGCTGGCCACCGTCCGCCCGGCGAGGCTCTCGTGACACGTGCTGGCTCCCTCCCGAAGCCGACACATTCTCGCCAAAGCTTCGTCCTTCCGTTTCTGAGCTTTGCCAAAATGGGATTCCGGCTGCGTGAGCTTTGTCTCCTCCTGCGGAGCGAGAAACGGCAGAACCTCACTAACATACTCATCTACAAATGGGTGCATACCCATCCGACGGAATGCATGTGCATCGCCTCTCTTTTGCAGCAGCTGCGCTATCCATTCCAAAGCCTCGTCATCAGGTACATGATCACCCCCAGAAACGACCCTTCAGATATGCCAGGAAACGTTCACGTTTGAAATTGTGCTGCCAATGTTGTACACAACCACCTTGCCGATTGATGACAGGCTGGACGCTCTCTGGCTCCTCAGCCACGGCCTTGTGCCCCTCCATGTCCGAGTCCGGCCCCTGCTTGAGCGATTCTGCCCTGACGCACCCGATGAACTCCAGAAGCACCTCGGTCAAGGTGGGACAGAGTCTGGCGTACTCGGATCCATGCACGAAGCCATCGGTTTCTCAGGTACCAGCTGATCCAACTCGAGATTGGACGGTGATAAGCTCGGAGCTGCTGGTTGATTGGTTTACCACAGTCAACTCTTTCCGCAAGGTGGAACGCTCGAGATACAAATATTTGATCTCTCGATGGGCCATCTGGGCATATGTGTGACATAATGGGAGAAGCAGGACGAATACGCGAATGCAGAAGGTTGCAGTCGCCTCACCACGACCTGACTCAAGCCAAATTTGCTTGAGCCAAAGTGGATGGATGATGATAACGGAGGAGGAGGAGGAGGAGGAGGAGGAGGAGGAGAGGACACAGCAAGGCGCGGACGAGGAGCGTGAGGGAGATGATGAGAGGGAGGGAAGAATTCTAGGAAGGCTGCGTAACTAAGGGGAGGAGGAAGAGGGAGCGGCAGCACATCCCCTGTCTCTCGGTCTCGCGTCCGAGGAGTCGCGCGATTGCCGAACCACCCTCGCGCAGTCGAGGACGGCATCTGGGTGAGCGATGACGCCCAGCTGCGTCGGCCGAAGGATGGTTAATAACGCCTCGGATCAGACGGTTAGCCAACTGGGATGCTTTGAATTGACCATACCAGCGGGGCGCAGCTCTGACCAGGTCACGCTTCCTACCAGCGGCGCGGCCGAGAATTCAATCGGGTCAGGATACATCGGGAAACCCTGAGACCTGGCAGCTTCCGCGGCCTTCTCAGAACGGGCGTCGCGGGCGCCACCGCCATCTCAGAACGTTACGGAACACTCTGAGAGCGTTCCGGAACGCTCTGGCTGGAACGGATTCATCCTCGTCCCCAGACACCTGGCCGCCCCAATTTTTCGATGCGTGGACCTCTGAGGCCCTGACCGCTTCCCCAGGGCCGGGTAGTCGTCCTGAATCGTTCTTTGACTGCCCCGAAGCCCAGCGAGGGCCCCAGAGGCCGAAAACGGCCCAAACCGGCCGCTCCAATTTTTCGGAGCGTCGGATCTCTGGATCCTAGCCCCAGCCCCAGACCCCCGAGGTCATAACTTTTTCATGACGTCGACCCCCAAAGGTCTGGACCCATTCCCCGAGACCGGTTTTTCATCCTGCGTCATTTCTTGACGATCCCGAGGCCCGGTCAGGGCCCCTGGAGGCCGAAGTTCAAGAGAAACCTCCCGTCGTGTTTTCATCATGACTCGAGGGATCCTGGGTCCGACGCAGCAAGGACCCCCAGAGGTCCGGACTCTGTCCCCGAGCCCGGCTTCTCGTCCCCCCCGGCGGTGTTTTTTGGGGGGGTCTGGCCTGCGGGCCCTGCGCGGCCGAGAGAGCTTCCCCCGAAAGCCCGGCCAGGGATCGCATTGGGAGGCAACTCCTGGGAGGAGGGGGAGGGGGAGGAGGAGGAGGAGGAGGAGGAGGAGGAGGAGGAGGAGGAGGAGGAGGAGGAGGAGCGCACGTAGCTGGGAAGACAGTGCCACAGCTACTGCACAGCACTAGCCTCGCATAGCGGCTAATGCAGCAGATCGTATCTGGTAATGGTATGAAGGCGTGGCAGCCTGCGGCCGCCGCACAAGGTCCGCTTTCAGTTTATGGTAAATGTGAAAGCTTAGGACTACGATTCGGTGACATCGTAATCGTGGATATTCGATCTCGCGATCGGGGTGGGGGCCGAGCCCCAGGAGGAGGAGGAGGAGGAGGAGGAGGAGGAGGAGGAGGGGGATCAGGAGCAGGACAAGAAGGAGCAGCGGGAGAAAGCTGGCGGCCTGGGCGGAGGAGAAGGAGGGAGGGTAACACACACTAATAATTGGCGACGTTGCCGCCGCACAATGCCCTGGGTGCGTCATCTTGGAATTGGCGATCCTCATTTTGGGGCCTGGGTGAGCCACTACATGCCCTCGGTGTGCTATGGAGATGTGGCAAGGGGGTGGCGTAATAATCGCTCGAGAACGAAAACCTGTTTTCGCATGCTTTAATTTGGCGGTGGCGTCGTCAACAAGTGCCCTACGAAGTATACCAAGCGAAATAAAAGGAAAGTGGGAGCAGGCCCGATTCATGGGCCATTGAGCCGGACTAGGCCAGGTTAAGCCGGGAGTAAGAGGGATTCAGTTGGATTAAAAAGAAGTGTGCCAGATTAAGCGTGACTAGGCCAGATTCGGTCTGTTCTCGACCAGGGATAGACCAGCGCCGATTCATAAGTCTAACCTCCCAGGACTGCATCCGAAGGTTTGTGCGCAGGCCCTGCAGGGCAGGAGGAGCCAGAGGTGTCACGACAATCTGCGCAGGAGGCTCCTGGACGCCGGCCTCGACGATGGCGGCGTCGGAGTCTTCGCCTTTGGCGCCGTCGCCGCAGCCTCCGAGTCCACCTCGGAGAAGCAGGAGGGGGAGAGGAGCAGGAGGAGGAGAAGGAGGAGAAGGAGGAGGAGGAGGAGGAAGAGGAGGGGATGAGGGTAGGAGGCAGAAAGGGGATGAGGGTAGAAGGAGGAGGAAGAGATGAGGAGTGGGGGGGATGATGATGATGATGATGATGATGATGATGATGATGATGATGATGATGATGATGATGATGATGAGGAGGAGGAGGAGGAGGAGGAGGAGGAGGAGGAGGAGGAGGGGGATGAGGAAGGGGAGTAGGAGGAGGAGATGAGGGGGAGGGGGAGGAGGAGGAGGAAGAGGAGGACGAGGAAGAGGAGAAGGAGGAGGAGAAGGAGGAGAAGGAGGCGGAGGAGAAGAAGATGATGATGATGATGATGATGATGATGATGAGGAGGAGGAGGAGGAGGAGGAGGGCGAGAGGGAGCGTAAGAGGAAGCTCAGACCTCTGGCGGCGGGACCAGGTCACAACAGGACTTTTCCGACAAATTCGGCACCCTTGGGCTGCTCCTGATCGAGGAGATCAAAACGCGACCTGCATGGAAGAGCTGGTCCCAGGGGATGGGGTCGAGGGCTTTGGGTGCCCACGCCGTGAGCAATACAGTGTCATATGTATGGGAGCATACTTCCGGAGGTGGAGGCTGATGGAGGAGGGAGGAGGAGGAGGAGCCAGGAGGAGGAGGAGGAGGAGGAGGAGGAGGAGGGAGAGGAGGAAGAGGATGAGCCAGAGGAGCAGGAGGAGGAGGATGAGGATGAGGATGAGGATGAGGAGAGGATGATGATGATGATGATGATAATAATAATTAATAATATAATAATAAATAATATAATATGATGATGATGATGATGATGATGATGATGATGATGATGATGATGATGATGATGATGATGATGATGATGATGATTAGGGAGGAGGAGGAGGAGGAGGAGGAGCAGAAGGAGGGGTGGAGGAGGAGGAGGAGGGGGAGAAGGAGGGGAAGGAGGAGGAGGAGGAGGAGTGACAGGAGGAAAATGGTAACGACTGAACGCCAGGAAAATGTGCGATTCGCTGGGGAGCCCATCCACGTCCATTGGGGCATGGCGGGGAGGCCGGAGCCCCAGCAAGGAATGCCAGTGAGGAGGACGAAGAGGAATTGCTATACTGTTCTTCGTCCGCTGAGAGTTAGCAAAGGTCTGGAGAGGGGAGAAGCGGAGGCGGGGCGGAGGCGGAGGCGACGGAAAGTGGCTACAGTCACTGTTGCAAATATTGTTTCTCGTGCCTGTGCTCGGGACAGCTGGCGCGGTTGAGCAGAAGAAGGAGAGATGTGGGCACGCGCAAACGCCGCCGAGAAACATTGAGCATACTGGGCAGAGGGTTTCACGCGTGCTTCCCATGGCGCCGAGAGCCCATCCCCCCATGCCCTGCGCCACCCGTCGCCCGGGGAACGGCCCTGTCCAAACCTCAGACGTCGACAGAACGAACCCGCCCATCGGTGGTCACCAGAACCGAACGCGTGGGGAAACTCGAATGGCTACCGATCGCGGACTCGGGTGGTCACTCGCAGCTCGTCGACACTGCCGAGCACAACCAGAATTGCTGATGGGGGCGACTCGATTGCACAAGGCTCTGTCGGGGACCTGACTCGCGGGCCACAAGTTGGCCCAGAGAACTCAAGCCAGGGGTGGCTGGGTCTCTCTAAGGGGGGGTCTTGGAGACGCATTCCTCTGGCCGCGACCCCCGGCGGCGCCAGGACAACCCCGCTTCCCAGACTCCCGACGTCATGATCTTCTTCATGACGTCGACCCCCCAGCAGGTATGGAGCCCTTGCCTCTGACCGGCTTTTTTCATCCCGAGTCGTTCTTCGAGGTTCCCGAGGCCCGGCAGGGGCCCATTGAGGCCGAAACTAGCGAAGCACCTCCCGTCGTGATTTTCCCGTGGCCCATGGGCCAAGGGGGTCTGGGCCCCGGGCCGAGCTGATTGGACCGCCGACGGTTGCCGCGTTTTTGCTCCAAGACAGCACTGACATCATTCGCATCACTGGTCGAAGGATCTCGCCCGGGGGCGGCGCGCGTCGGGGCACACGGCCGCCGTGGCGGAGGCGCCCCGTCTTCGCGAGCATTCAGCCCGGAACCTCCCAAGGCGAGGGTATATCGACCTCCGCTCCAGAACGGTTTGCTCCTCCGCGCCAGATATTTTTCGGCGCCAGATATTTTTCGGCAGCGACTTGCTTGAACTCGCAGCTTGTTCCGGAAGCGTTTCCTGCTCGTTCCCGTCTTCGCGAGCCTTCAGCCCGGAACCTCCCAAGGCGAGGGCATCGACCTCCGCCCCAGAACGGCCTGCTCCTGCGCGCCAGACATTTGTCGGCAGCCCGGGCAGGCCTCCCCCAGCAGCGACTTGCTTGCACTCGCAGCCTGTTCCGGGAACGCTTCCTGCTCGTTC